CCTGGGGTCCCCCTGTGACTGATCACCAATCCAGGGAGGCACGCGTCCCCGTCCCCCCATGTGCTCCCCAGCAGACCCAGAAGTGGACTGGAAGTGTTTCTGGTCCACTTCTGAGTCTGCTGCCAAGCGCGCTGGGGACCGCCCTGCACTCCTGTGGGACAATCCATGTGCCCCAGCATTGTAGCATTCATGAGCTGCGCTGGTACATCAAGGTATGTATAAAATACATTTAAAGATGTCTCTATGTCTGAATCACCGAATCTTTCTGAAGTGATTCGGAGGGTTCTGATTTAATTTGGAGAGAGGTCTTCTAATTCAATTCGGATTCAGAGATTCGGCCACCAAATTGGGCCGAATCAAGCCAGGGACCAAAGCTTTGCACAGGCCTATCATGTAGCCCTGGTTTCAAACTCCAGTCAGGCCTCCGGTGCCCATTCCCCAAAGTCCCTGTCTTCCTCCCAAGCCCTCGTGGCAGAATCAGCCATTTAACCAAATATACTGATGCCATTTAAAGTTACAAGAACATCAACATCTTTGGCCATGAAGTATTTTAAGATCACAGGATTAAAATCACTTTTCTCCCAGGCAAAGAAAAGATGTATGTAATAACAATTATTATTAGATATTTTTTTGGCTACCAGATGTTCTTAATTAACATTAAACTTCCATTAAATCTGCCTTGAAATTGACCCAACCAGTTATGCCCTGAAACTCCAGCTGCCTAAGACTCAACAATCAAAAGGAAGTCATACAATGAGGAATGATTCCTTTTATCAAAAATAAGTACAGTGGGCTAGTAGTTGTCACATCCACAATCCCACAGGCTTTTTACTTTATCCAGCGGCCTGAAGCCCCTTTCAAGCTTGGCTGCAGAAGTAAATATTTTTCATAGATTTTCTCCTCACTATTAATTAATAGACTTTGTTGGGAATTTGAAACTTAACACACTCTTGTTACCAAAGTTATGGGCATCCCCCATGCACCTCTGCTAACGATCCCAGACTTGCCCACAAAATCTGGTCTCTCTACTAGCTTATTATTGAATAAGCACTTTTACTAAATATTTATGTAAGCACTTATACCAAGCCTGCAAGTTTGCTTCTGAATGCTGCAGCTGGACCTACCTATGAGACTACACACATCAGTGCTAAGCTACTCCATTTTTTGGGTTAAGGGGAGGAGGGGAGGTGTTTTTTGTTTTGATTGTTTTTTTGAGAAGCATGGGCTTTCCAAAGAAGCACAAAGAATCACTGGGCTTAGCAAATATGTTTAGAAGAAGCAGGGAAGTCACACATCTGGGGCCCTTCCAGGCTTGGCTGTGTCATTTGATTCCCTTCCTATTCATGTATGCTTATATTCATTGTGGCATTAGCCAACCTGGCTCGCTTGTACTTCCTCAAATTTCCTGCTGCACTTCAGTTTTATTAGCTGCCTAACTCTTTTGGAAACAAGTTTTTTTTTCCCCCAGAAATAAGTATATTTGGTTGTCCTAGGACTGACTTGCCTCACAGACCATTTCTCTGTTCCTTCCTGTTTTACTGTAGCTTTATGAAGATTTAATTCAGGCTGCATCCCAGAACTCTGATTAATCTGGTTACAGTTGCTTGCTCTGTTGCTGCCTGGTGGCATAGCCTAACAAGCAAGATTAATACTGCCCTGTCTTCAATACTTCCTTTACCTCTGTGACGAGCTGGTTGGTAGTGACTTAGCCCAGGGGTTTTGAAAGGGCAAAAGATGATTGGAGGACTTGGGATTCCCTTTCCTCACCAATCTGGTAATGATTTGGCCCAGGGGTTTTGAAGGGGTAAAAGATGATTGGAGGACTTGGGATTCCCTTTTCTCACCAATCAGGCCCCAGAGACACCCTCCATGTCCCCTGATTGGCCCTGTGGGTCACCTGGAGGGGGATAAAAGGGGCAGTGTGGCTGACACAGAGAAGAGACCAGTGAGGGACCATAAGGAAGGAGCTGGCAAGAGCTGAGCCAGCGGGGCGGAAGCAGTTGCCCCAGAAGAGCCTGAAGGAGTGGGACCTGCAGGCAGCACTGGGGTCCTCAGCAGCGCGGCATGCGGCTGGCAGGAGAGGCTCCCCATTGGGCTCCAGGATCCCCTACGAGAGGCTGTGGCCAGCAGGAGAGGCTCCTCAGCTCCAGCAAGATGTGAGCAGCAACCTGAGAGGTTCCCAGCTCTGCTTCCAGCTCCTCCAATCAGAGGCCAGGCAGCTCAATGTGAGGCCGGGGCTCCAGGAAGGTCAAGACCCCTAACAGCTTGGACTAGCACTGGTGGCTGTGTGGTAGAGTTTCTGCCTACCATATCAGAGATCCAAGATCAAGTCCCAGCTTTGGAGACTTGGGGTGAGTGAGCTAACAAGGAAACATTCCTCTTGCAGTGAAAAGGGGCCATTGTGTTTTCCCCCTTTCTCCCCCTCCAGGTACCTAGGCCCTATATTCCTTGTAATTTGACATTTTGTATTTTGTGTCTTTTGTATTTCCAGTAATACCAACCAGTATTGTTTGTTCTGCAGTTTGTGTTTTACATTTTGGTTAACCCTATCTTTTGTCAACTGGATGAATATGTCTATGATTGTAAGGGTCTGCCCCTTCAAAGCATTGTAGTGTTCCCTATACCCCCCTAGTTTATACTGGTTATGTTCCCAGTATTGTTCCCTCATTAAAAGATATATGGCTAAGTCCCCATTGGTGGTCTGGCTCTGCTCTATAGGGGGAGGAGAGTCCCTACACCTCCCACAGCTTGTGCACCTGCTTTGATCCCTTCAATTGGAGAGGGGGTACTTCCTGGAGTACCGCCCAGGTTACACCTCCATCTCTTTTCTCTCCTCAGTTCCCTCTCTCCCCCTCCAATATTAGCCAAACAAAAACTCGTCATTGCACTGTAAGAGTGTGAGGACCTATCTTGGCCTTTTCTTTAGCTTCCATTAGTACAGTATCTCAGTGTTTTCCATTCTTTTTCTTCCCCTACTAAAACTCTCATTGTTAGCAAGCTAGACAATAGCATCAGAGTTGTTAGTCACTCATTACTCCCTCTTTTCTCAATCTGCCTTCTTCCTCCCTCTCCTCACTATTCTCCTCCCTAGCCTCTCCATAACAACTTGCGTATTACAATTATATTAATTTAAATACCTTAACGTTCTTGAACCTTATTACTAAATTTTATATATGTCCTGTGGCTTTAACAA